TTTAAAAGAATAAAAGTTTATTATAGTTCACAAAAAAAAATTCTAACCAGCTAGCTATATTGCCATACATATATGAGGCTGAGAAAAAATTTCCTTTAAATACAAAGAGCTTTTCTAAAATGATAAGAGAAAAGCTGGTCAAAAATGAGATCGGGTATGTCACAGAAAAAGAAATAACAAAATAACCTATAAAAACATGAAACATTCAAGACAAGGTGGGTAGATCAGTAGGCAACACAGAACATGCTTAGTATGCAAGAGGCCCTGGGATCAATTCCTAGCATGGAAAGGAAGGAAGAACAGAGGAAAAGAAAGAAATGCAAATTAAAATAAGATACCATTTTTTTCTACTGGATTATCACCACCTATACTTGGCAAAAGAAAGAAAAAAAAAAGTTTGCTAAAACATAGTTGTAGGCTTGCCATGGGTGGCTCACACTTATAATCCCAGCTACTGGTGTGAGTCCTGGAGAGCAAAGGCCAGAGAGGCTGGAGTTCTCCAAGGTCAGGAGAGGAAGTGTGTATCCCAGTTCTCTGAGGAGACAAGACACATTCAGCCTTCTTACGAATTTGTTGCCTCAGGGCCCCTGGACGACTGAATGTTGCCCACCCATCCACCTCAAGGGAGGATCTGTACCTCCCACTCCACAGATTTATAAATTAATCTCCTCTAGAAATACACCCACAATGTTCCCCAGGTTTCCCTAATCTCATCAAATTGGATTAATGGTTTACTTTCCTTCCTTCCTGTCCCTTTCCCTCCTTCCCTCCCCTGTAATTTACAAGCCTTCTGTCTCAAAAAAAAAAAAAAGATACCATTGAATTGTACATTTTAATAGGTGAATTATGTCTCAAACTTAAAAATTCCATCCTGGGTTTTTGTTTGTTTGTTGTTTTTGAGACTGGGACTATGTAGCCCAGGCTGGCCTCAAACTTGTGATCCTCCTGCCTCAGTCTCCCAATGTTGGGATGACAGGTGTGCACCACCATGCATGGACCCTTCCTAATTTTTAAAACCATAAGACCTTAGTCCATCTGCATCTAACTTTCTCACTTCATAAACAAAGCACTAAAGATCAGAAAGGTTAAATGACTTGCCCTAACTCATCTGTTATTCAGAGCCCCAGAATAATGTCTCTTACCCATTATGTTCTCATCCAAGTAAGCTTGGGTGGCCATTCTCACAAAATTAATACAATCATGCAACTCCATTGGATTCGGTACAGATCTCTGAACCCAGATTTAGAAATACACAGTTTGGCCAGGCACTGGTGGCTCACATCTATAATCTCAGCTACTCAAGAGGTGAGATCAGGAAGATCGTGCTTCAAAGCCAACCCGAGCAAATAGTTCAAAAAAACCCTTCACAAAAACAGGACTGATGGAGTGGCTCAAGGTGTAGGTCCTGAGTTCCAAGAACCAGTACACAAAGGAAAAAAAAAAAAAAGAAATACCCAGTTTGGCTAGGGGTAGTGGTTCATGCCTGTAATCCCAACTACTCTGGAGGCAAGTTCAGGAGAACCAAGGCTCAAGCCCAGCCTGGCAAAAGTTAGGGAGACCTCATCTCAACCAATAAGCTAGGTATGGTGGTACATGCCTGTCATGCCAGCTACTTGAGAGGCATGAATATAAGGACCATGTTCTAGGCCAGTGCAGGCAAAAATATGAGACCCTATTTGAAAAATAACTAAAGCAAAAAGGGCTGGGGGTGTGGCTCAAGTGGTAAAGCACTGAGTTAAAACTCTAGTACTGCCCCCCCTCAAAAAAAAAAAAAAGAAAGAAAAATACACAGTGTGGTTTTTGGAAGCCATATTTACTCTTGTTTTGTGGCTCAAACAACTGACTCTTGTTACTTGGCCAGACTGAGGCTCCTGTAAGTTCAACATCAAGATTTCTTATTCTTTGAGTTAAAGTTACATGCCAAAATCAAATTTGTGGTACATGTCTGTAATCCCAGGAAGCTGAGGTAGGATCTTGAGTTCCAGGTCAGCCTGGCCTACATATTGAAACCATGTCAATAAATAACCTTAAAAAGATAAAATGTCACACACCAAATTACAAGGTATGAGCATCTGGGCTTGCAGGCTCACAGATCTGGGTTCAAGTCCATCCTTGTGTGAATTGGACCATGCTGTTCACTTTGATGAGATTCAGTGAATTGCGATGGATAAAGGTATTCTGTTTGTAAGCACTGCATGAGCGATTACACATACTGTGTGTGGCACACAAATGTGAAAGTTCTTCCTTCTATCTAGGAACCAAAGGACTTCCATAACTGAGGCCCTTCTCTGGTGAGGTTGGTCAGACGCAGTTGCTTCAATGAGGTTTCTTGGGGATAAAAATCTTCACCACTCCACTGTGTCTTGTGCACAATTCCAACAGCAGGTCTCTCTGGGACCATGGCACATTTTCATCTCTCCTGCATGGCTGGTACAACACTCATTAAGAAAAACAGAAAATACCCTGCAGAATACGGCAAGCTTGTATGCTCAGAGGAGGCCACAGACGTGTCACAGACCTCAGAAGCCACATAGGAGGGACAAAAACTACTACAGGACTAAAAAGGGTGGGGAAAGTATGGTGGGAAATGGTACAGCAAAGTCCTCAGTAGTAAGGCAAAAGCTGAGAGTAATTACCAGTCAAAAAGTTTAGGAAGGGGCCATCTTTCCTTAGGAAATTTCAAAATAGCCGGGCACAGCGCATGTATCCCAACTACTTAGGAGGTACAGATAGGGCAATCAGGGTCCCAGGACACCCTGCCTGAAAAACAAACCAAAGCAAAAGAACTAGGGGCTTAGCTCAAGTGATAGAGCAAGTGTGAGGCCCTGAATTCAATCCCCAACAGTACCAAAAAATTCCAAAAGGAACACATTCAAAATAGCTCTTTTTTGGGAGGAAAGAGGGCTCTAGGGATTGAACTCTGGGCCTCATGCTTGCTAGGCAGGCACTTTACCACTTGAGCAACTCTGCCAGCCCTGTTTTTGTGTTGGGTATCAAGACTGGGTCTCCCAAACTATTTGCCAAGGCTGGATTAGAACACCTATCCTCCTGATCTCTGCCTCCTTAAGTAGCCAGGATTACAAGTGTGAGCCACTGGAGCCCGGCTAAAGAACAATTTTTTTTTTTTTTGTGGTACTGGAGCTTGAACTCAGGGCCTACACCTTGAGCCACTCCACCAGCCCTTTTTTGTAAATGTTTTTTTTGAGATAGGGTCTCTGGAACTATTTGCCCAGGCTGGCTTCAAACCTCAATCCTCCTGATCTCTGCCTCCTGGGTAGCTAGGATTACAGGCATGAGCCACCAGCGCCTGGTCAAGATCAATTTTTTATGTAACTGTGCATACAAACTTTACTTTCACAAGTTTTTATTGCTTATATATTTATTGATGACATCTTTTGTCTTTAATTCCTTTTTTATGGTTTTGATTTGAGAAAATTATTTGTGGGTCTAGCATAGGATAGATTGCATTACAGTTTTACTTATTAAAATACCAAATTTTTTTTTAAAAAAACCTTTTATTTATTTTTTGAATGCTGGTATTGAACCCAGGGCCTCACATGAGCTCTAGCACTGAGCTGTCTCCAGCCAACCAACCTATTTGAGTAACTTCGCACCTTGTTCCAAGGTTAAAAGTTCAATTTTCAGGTTGGTTTAACTGACCAGTGCTCCTGTAGTCACCAGAACGTTTCCAGATCTCCATTTACTAGCCTGTTTCATCTGTGCCAAGTTATGGGGCCTGACAATGACATTATCAAAGGTATTAATTTGTAGTAATTAATACTGACGCATAGCACCAAAATACGGAGGAAGAGACAAGTCGGAGATTCCAAGCTCACTGGATTCAAGGTCGCCTCTTGCCCCTATCAGGGTCACCATCCAACTGGTCAATTACTTAGAGCTCTGGCCCACCCTCACCCCAAAATCTCAGCCCAGATGCCTTTTCAAAGGGGCGCTCAGGCAGTCTTCTCTCAACTCCAGCTGGTTGTCTCCTAGTGTAGTATCAGGCAGCGTTAAGACTCCTGGGGGAAATAAAGGGCTAGGAATGCTGGTGCGAGTTCGGAAGGAGCTGCGATTTTAGATAATGACAACCCCCTCCCCTGGGTAACATCTGAGCAGATCTCTGCTGCCAGGGGACAGGGGACAAGCCACAGGCCATCTCGGGAAAAGCGTTCCAAGGAGGCGCTCAGTCAGTAGGGTGGTCCTTGCTCGATACCTTCCACAGCTGCACCACGGGGTCCAAGCAAGAGAAAGCAAAGTAGGAGAAACCACGCAGGAGCAGAAGATCCCTTCAGCAGTGTCAGGCTTTACCTGCACCTGCAGTCCCGGGGCAGCGCCCGGGAGCGGCTCAGAAAGCACTGTCCACCTGCAGGAGGAGATTCGTGTTTGGAAGGTCCCCGCCCTTCAGCCAAGGATCTTGCAGGCGTGGCCACGCCGCCCCAGTTGCTGCCTCCACCTGCACTTCCAGGGCCTGCCGCCAACTGTCACCGCCCCCCGACCCCGGTGAAACTAGCATTTGAACTCAGGGCCTCACTCTTGCTAAGCAGGCGCTCTAGCTCTTGAGCCACGCCCCCAGCGTTATATTTGTTTTTTAGATAGGGTCTTGCTAACTTCTGCTGGGCTGTGGCGGAACTCACGATCCTCCTGACTCCAGAGTAGTTGGCGACCCAACTTTTTTTTTCGGCGGGGGCGACACAACTATTAAACAAGCTCAAACCAGATTCTAATTTCCTCTCCGCCTCCTCCGCGGCCCGCCTCTTTCCCCCCAGGATCCGCCCCCGCCTCAGATTTCCCTCGGCTTCCGCCCGGACAACCCAAGCCCCGCCTCTAAGCGGCTCTTTCCTGCGAGAGGCTCTGCCCCCAGGGCTCAGACACCTTTCTCGTCTCTGTAGTTGAGCGTCAATGATTGGTCTGAGTTGGAGACCTCGATTCCTAATTGGTCATGGTGAACAGCCATTCACTTCATGGCTCAGTGACCCGGAAGTGATTCCCGAGACGGCTGCCGCGTGGATTCACCTAGGGGCTCGGTTGGTGTAGCTACTCGGTTTTATCGGAGATTGCAATGACCAAAATAAAGGCAGATCCGGATGGACCCGAGGCTCAGGCAGAGGCGTGCTGTGGGGAGCGTACTTACAATGAGCTGCTGGTCAATCTGAACCCCATCGCGCAGCCGCTGGCGTCTCGCCGCCTCACGCGCAAGCTTTACAAATGTATCAAGAAAGGTGCGGCGGAGGCCAGGTGGCCCCAGTGCGGGGCGCGGGTGGCGAGGCGATGCGAGGCGAGGCACCCTTCTGACCCTTCTGTCTTTGTAGCCGTGAAGCAGAAGCAGATTCGGCGCGGGGTGAAAGAGGTTCAGAAATTTGTCAACAAAGGCGAGAAAGGGTAAGAACGCTCCTTCCACAGGACTTTGCATTTCCAATTGGGAACGTACTAGGTAAAGGTTGCCGACCCAGAGCCATCAACAGTCAATTAAATTCGTAAACCTCCTTCATTGTGGGTACCGACCCATCACTCATGAGCTCAGAGTAAATTCCAGAGGTAAGAGAATTGCATAAGCCGGCGCACTTAGCTAGATCCTTACTTCTTTCATTGACAGTCTACTCTTTCAGGCACTGTGTTGTGGGGAGCAATGTCTGATAATCACACACAGAAATAAGGATAGATAAGCCATGAAGGAGAGGTACAAGCTGCAGTGAGAAGACTTCATTAGCCTGCTTCTTTTCTGGTATTTATCAGAATCTGAAGCTCAATAGTTTCAGTCCTTGTATTTTCCACTCAGGCCAAATAGTAAGCACCTTGACAACACTCCTGTCACTGCTTTATGCCGGGAAGTGTTTGGTACACTGTTGGTACTCAAGAGATAGTGTTGGTCACAGTGGCAGAGCATTTGCTTAGTATGTGGGAGGCCTTGAATCCCACCCCCAGCACCACAAACGAGAGAGAGCACATTGGGAAAATTTGATACTCACTAAAGAGTCTGACCTAGTTGGTGTTTGGATGCATGAGGGTAAGTTTTCCCTAAGCAGTCCCAATTTGAGTTGGGGGTTGTTTTTTGTTTGTTTTTGTTTTTGAGACATGGGTCTTCCTATGTAGTCGACTGCCCTCAAACTCATAATCCTTTTTCCTCCACCTCCCAAGTTCTGGGATTACAGGCATTTGCCATCACACCTGGCTTTGAGTGAGATCTGAAGGCATAGGGATTAATTTGGAGGAACAGGATCCTGCCAAAGTGGGTTCTGGGACAGAAAAAAGCATAGCGATGGGGTCTTGTAAACCATGGCAACTTAGTTTTTGTTCTCAGAGCTCTTGCAGGACATTGAGTTAAAGCTGTGAAGGTTACAAACAATTGAGGAAAGGATTAAGAAAGGCAAGAACAGATTTGGGGAAATCCAGTTAGGTGGTACCGTAGATCAGGAGAGGTGATGGGGGAGATAAAATTAAAGTCAATGGATTTGAGAGGGCATTATGATATGGAGAGTGAGGAGGTGACTGACTGCTACATGCTAGTGTGCCCAGCCAAATGGACAGAAGGCCTATTGCCTAAGATTGTGGACTGTGGAGGAAGACCAAGTTTGTGTGAAAAGATAACAAGTTTGGTTTCAGGTGCCTTGAAGATACATGACACCTCTTCTCCCACATCCCTGGCTTAACTGTCAAACAAGCACATGGTTGTGTTTGGAAGAGAAAGGCCAAGCTGGAGAGAAGATATGGGATTGGTAGATGGCTTTTGACACCATGGCTGTAGAGCAGGTCAGCCAGGCAAAAGGTGCTGAAGGGAGAGGGCAGCCAAGGACCAAACCCCAGCTTTTGAGGAACACCAACAGTTAAGGCCATTACAGGCAGAGGAGCCTAGAGAACAGCCCCTATGGCTGAGGGGAAAGGAGTGTAGTAGAAGCAGGACATTGAGCCAAGGGCTGTGTCTGTCACCCACCCTTAAGGAACCTGAGTCTTTAGGCCTTCTGAGGCCCTTGCTGCAGAATCCTGATACCCTGGCAGCTAGGAATTCTAGCTGAGGACTCTCTGGCAAACTTTTGTTTCCTCTCGGACAGAGTTTCCAAGGCCCCTCGGTATGACTCTTGCTAATATCTCCAGCTTTGTTATCTGCTTGTTCCCCATCCTGGATTCCATAGGCATCCTAGGCTCTGGACAACCCAATGTATCTGATACCATTCTGATTCTCTCAGCCTTATGCCTACTTGTGAACTGCCTGGTATCACTCAGGTTTCACCTTCTGGTTGGAGCCTTTTTTTTGGCTCTCCAAATACTGAGTTCTTATTCCTTGACACTCCTCCCATGCATCTGTCTCAGCACTTGTACCACCTGTCAAGCTTGGTGGCATGTACATGCTTTCAAGAAGTAGTGATCATGGAGCGACGCCAGTGGCTCATGCCTGTAATTGTAGCAACTCAGGAGGCAGAGATAAGGAGGATCAAGGTTCGAAGTCAGCCTGGGCAAATAGTTTGCGAGACCCTATCTTGAAAGTACCCAGCACAAAAAAGGGTTGGTGGGTTGGTTCAAGTGGTGGAGCAGCTACCTAGCATGCACAAGGCCCTGGGTTTGATTCCCAATACTGCCCAAAACAAAGTAAAGATCAATGCCCCAAAAATAATGCATTTGCCAACTATGACTTTGTACCCCCTTCAGAAGTGGGTGGGCCCACACTAACAGTTGTGGGCTTCTTGACGGAAAGGCATCTTATTCATCTCTCCACCCTGGGACCCAGCCCAGGAGTGGCACTTAAGCCCAAAAGAGGAAAGGAAAGAGCAGGGTAGAAATGACTGTGGTTTCTCATTTTAGGATCATGGTTTTGGCAGGAGACACATTACCCATTGAGGTATACTGCCATCTCCCAGTTATGTGTGAGGACCGGAATTTGCCCTATGTGTATATCCCCTCTAAGACGGTAAGGACACCCACCTTGCTCCACTTCCCCAAAAACAAACTATGGTCATCCCTGGGGGCCTGGGATACAGTCTCCAGAAGCCATAGTGGGAAAGAACACAAGTTAAGACAGACCTAGGTGGCTTCTTGGCTCTGTGGCTTCTGCAGGTAAGTTACTTCTCTACACTTTGGCTTGCTTCTTTTTTGAGATATGATCTCTGTGTCACTCAGGTTGGCCCCAAACTACTGGGCTCGAGGAGTCCTCCTACAGTTGCCTCCTGAGTACCTGGGACTACAGGCATGCATCACCATGCCTGGTGGGATTCCTTGTAAAATTGGAATCCCCTCCTCTGGACTATGAGAATGAAAACAGAAGACGGTACTTGAATATGTTTGTAAACTTTGAGATACCACATTCAGGCCGGAGGTGTGGGACTCAAGTGGTGGTGCCTGCCTACCAAACATGAGGACCCAAGTTCAAACCCCAGTGCTGAAAAAAAAAAAAAAAAAAAACACATCCATGTCAGTCCTATTAGATGGGTTCATGGTCAGAAGTGTTTTGGGGACCTATAGGCATCTCATAGCAGGGACTAGGTGGGGCACAGGGTGTGGGAGATGACAGGGACTTGGAGAACAGAGGCCTTGCCCTGCACAGGGACACGCTGCTGGGGTGGAGTCTTCACAGTAGCTATGTGGAATATAGGCTGAGGGTTGTTAGACCTTGGCTTGAAAGCTTGCTTCAGTTTAAAAAATGGAAATCAATTTGAAATGTTTTAAAATACATTGTGAACCACTAGAACATAGTTGTGTGCCAGATTAGGCTGGTGGGTCATTTGTGACTCCCTGGCATACAAGCCATGTAGCTTCTATTCCAATAGCCCTTTCCCTTTCTTTGTAGGACCTGGGTGCAGCTGCAGGCTCTAAGCGCCCCACCTGTGTGATCATGGTGAAGCCCCATGAGGAGTATCAGGAGGCCTATGATGAGTGCCTGGAGGAGGTGCAGGCCCTGCCACCACCTTTGTGAAGGACTTGGACACCATCACAGGCACCTGCTCTGGAAGCTGCTGGGCTGGCACTGGGCAGGCTGTGCACCCTTACAGCTCACAGCCTCTGCTCAACTGCCTGAGCTGAGGCACGGATTCTTCACGGGCAGCTGTTCCTGGAGGTAGAGCCAGCATCTTCCCCATCAGTGCTATTTCCTGTGGAGCTTAAATGAAGACAGTTCCAAGAATGTAGGGTAGAGAAAGTAAATGCTAAGACTAAAATGTGGTGAGTCTGTGGGTGTTTTTTAAGCAGCAGCCGCTGGTGGGGCTGAGTTGGCAGGCAGGAAGGAGCGGAAGCAGCCCTTCTTACAGAGAAGGACTCTCAAATGCTCAGGCACAGGGGGGCCACCCAGTGCCAGGGCTTTGGATCAAGCTGAGCACTGATTTTGCTGCCACCTCAGTTTTTGACTCCCTCTTCCAGGACAGGTGGGAGCTTTAAGATGAGGCAGCAGGACCTAGAACCCACTTCACAGAAGCCTGCTGCCCCTGTGTGAGGGATATCACCAGTCTTTTCTTTTTTCCCTCGGAGCCTAAAATGTCTGATGGAAGCCATTTACTCACCCACACAGTAAATTTTAAATAGGAATATGAAGTTAAATACAAAACCTCAGGCTGCTCCTGCTTGACATAATGGCCCTGATAATCCAGTTCCTCCAAACATTTTAGACTTAAGGCCCCTTCCTGCTGTCAAAAGCCCCTCCCAGGACTCAAACATAGCAACCAAGCTTTCATCTTATTCCCCTTACATGGATTTCTAGCAAAATTTTATATGAAACATTTTATATGAACATGAAAGCACCTTACCCAGGGTCTGCCATCACCCAGGTTTCCCCCCAACTGGGGGCAGATGGCATAATGGCTGGCCATGGTTTTGCTAGACAGTTCCTGTGCAGCCGTCATGCAGTAGTTTGCCAGTGAAGCAAGGCTGGCCAAAAGTAAGGAGAAGAGCTGTGAATATATTTGCTCAAAGTTATAAAACAACAACATTCAGTTCTAACTTAAACTATTTACAGTGGGATAGGACACATACAGTTGAAGCTATACAACAGAAAGAGGAAAGCCACCGCTAACACCCTGGGCTGAGGGTAGGATGGGCACCAGCCTTGGCATTAGCAGCAAGAGACGCAGCTGGGGGCAGGGGTGGAAAGATGTCTGCTGCTGATGGCCAAGGCCTTTGCTACTCTGTCAGCTGCTGCTAAGTCAAGGCAGAGAAGACAGAGTAGAAGTCTAGAAGCCAGGAGCTCCCTTTCCTTATAGCAGAAGAACCAGTTGCCAAGTGTGCATTGGTTCACCTCCTTTCTGGGCCTCTGCTGATAATCTGGTCAGGCTCTGCTCTGTGGCAGTGTTCCTCAGCCAGGAGCTCTGAAATTGATCACCAAAGAAGCCAGCCACCCACTTGCCCCAGAGACAGACAAATACTGTGGATGAAAAACTCTTTCCAGCGAAGTGCCTTCCAAGCAGGAATCAGAATATGATGCGTTTCCCATCAGCTGGGTTCTGCTCCATGGGGCAGTAGGGACACTTCAGCCTGCAAAGGAGGGAAAACCAAGTCTACCTCAGGAGCAGCCAGCAGGAGAGCCAGGCCAAGATGAAGCAGGGAAGAGGAACTTACTTCCCCCCATTAATCAGCTTGTTGAGTGCATCTCGAGAAATGACGTGGCCGCAGATGAGCTTGATGGGAGGGTTGGAATCTGAAGTCTGCTGGCGGAGGATGGGGCAAGCGAACACTGAGTGGTACCAGCACTTCATGCCTAGTTCAATTTCAATCTGGGAAGGCCAGCAGAAGGGTGAGTTCCACTTCCCATTCCAGATGTCCTCCCCTGCACCTGTCTTCTGCCCACACCTCCCGCCAGGCCTCACCGGCAGCTCGTCCTTGTGACTCCAGACCCCAGTGCACTGCCTCTGCTCAATCACAGCTTTGATGTTCATCAGCACGGGCAGTGCCACACAACCAGAAGCAAAGCTGCAAACAGAGAGCAGGGGCTGGAGCATCTCAAACCACAGAGACCCAGCAGATAGGCAAAAGGACACAGCACCCTGTCTTCAGCAGGGGGCTTGAGATAAGATTCTAAACTGGCATGAAATCAAATTAGTTCTTAAATCCCTCAGACTGCTGGTAAAGTCCCATGTATGTAGTTAGGTATGTCCAACTCTAGTTATTATAATGTACCCCAAAATCTGAGAATCTAAAAGAAAGACAGAATGAAATTACAGGGGCAGATCTGCTCACCTAAACCAGTGTGTGTGTGTGACTGGGGGACAGTTGTCAATCTGAAAAGGCCCAACTTGGTTATAGGATCTAACCTGCTCTGTTGTCAAAATACATCTATATAACAGTGTCAACTAGACACTGAAAAGTGGTGGGGCAGGGATTACTAAAGATGACTGACTGCACAACAGGTAGGGAACCCAGTGGCTGGAACCTCTGATAGTAAGTTCCCTATAGTGAGTCCTGCCCAAATAGGCATCCTGTCAAAGTGGTGGTTCTGCTAAGAACTACTGTTTTATGACCTGAGTCTACTCACTGTAACAGCTGGTCCACTATATTGGGATGGAGTAGGAGACTCTATAACCATTCTAAATAAAAGGCACTGTGATAACCCCAGTATATGGCTGGGGTCGGTCCTAGTGGTTTCTATTCATTCCCTAGAGGCCCCTGAACAAGTCAATTCTCATAAACCTCCATTTTCTCATCTATAAAATGAGGGTAACAGAAGCTCTAGTTCCAGGGGTTGCTGCAAGGTGAGAGAAGACCTACAGTGCAGGAAATTTCTAAGCAGTAACTAGATCTGCATCACACAGCCTCTCAAGTCTTCCCTGAAGGGAAGTGGTGTTAGAGATGAGGTTGTGAGAAGAGTGGTTACAAGAGGGACCCAAATTAGCTGAGAGGTCTAGCAATATTCTAGGGGTGAGGTGCATAGGATCCTCTCTTTGTTAATTATAAAAATGTGATGTTTACCTTCAAGGATGACCACCATTTTAGGTCTGTGAAAGCAACAAGCAGTGTTCCTGGCACATGGCAGGGCCTTGGCAGAATTGTTTCCCTCACTGTCCTCCCACTTAGGCCACACTCACAGTGCTGGGTTGTACCTGACACTGAGAGGGGACTCCACTGAAAGTCCCAGCAGAGAACAAGCATCACGAGTAAAGGTCTCACAGATCTCCGCCCAGTGGCTGTTGTCCAGGAGGTGGCAGTAGGGTGACTTCTCCAAGCCCAGCCGCAGGTATACCAGGCTGCCCATCATCACCTGGATCTCTACAAAGCAACCAAGGTGGCAGCTAAGGGGGTGCTGGGACTCAGGGCCATCCTCCAAGGGGTAGTAGGACTTGAAGCCCAAAACAGTTTGGTTGAAGCTCAGCAGCTCCCAGGCCCCTGACCAGACTGAGCAAGGACTGCAATGCCTTCAAGCAAACCTGACTCTAAAATCAGTGTGGGGGTAGTCCCACCACAGGCCCTGGTGGGAAGGGAGGGAAAGGAGGCCCTTCCCACCCTTCCAACCACATCAGGAGCAAGTCTCTGCTTAACACAACAGTCTCCATTGAACAACTCTAGCTAATCTTGCTTTTTCATGGAGCAGACTTCAGGTCCATAGCTTTTGGGAGGCTGCATCATTTAGCAAAAACAACAACCACTGTTTGAGGGCTAGGGATGTAGCTCAGTGGCAGCTTGCCTAGCATGTATGACATCCTGAGTTGCATCTCTAGCACCACAAAAAAATAAATCATTGCTTGGCTTTCATGATATTTCTAAAAAAATTTATTTTACTGTTTTATTTTTGAGACAAGGTCTCACTGTTTCTCAGGCTGATTTCAAAACTCCTAGTCTCAAGCAGTCTCTCTTGCTTCACCTCCTGAGTAGCTGGGACTAAGGCATGTGCCACCACACCCAGCTTTCATTTACAAATAAAATTTAAGCAGTTAAGTATGAGTGAAGAAAAAATAATAATAAGGGTTACCAGGGTGAGTATCTCCAAGGTGAAACTGAAAGGAAGCCTTAGTGTGAAGGAACAGGCTCAGGAAGGACCCACCAGAGGGGCTGATCAGGGGAAGTCTCAACAAACAAGGAGAGGTGACTGTGAGGTGGAGTGCTGGGTGTGGGTATGGCACATAGTAAACACTAGGACTCAGGTGACTGAGATGATGCTAAAATGGTTTGGCAGAGGTGGATGAAGAGGAGCCTTGAGATTTTGTTTCGTTTGAGACAGTATCACTATGCAGCCCAGGCTGGCTCTGAACTCGTGATCTCCTGCCTCAGCCTTCCAAGTACTGGGAATTATAATCATGGCTGGGTGCCACCACGCTTGGCACTAAGATCCTTGAATTTGGACTTCACCTTGGTGGCAAAGAGCGGTGGGAGAGGCAACTGTCTGGGTGACAAGCAAAGCCCCATGTGGGTGCAGGGACCAGCCACCTAACACCTAATTAGACATGGCCAGACATCAGCTGAACCAGGCAACACCACCCTCCCACCCCCAGCACTCTGGGCACTCACCCCGCTGATGCAGACGAGCAAAGGGCTGGAAGTGCCGGGCATAGCTGAGGGCCTCCAGCTGCTTTTCAGGGCCACCTGCCAGGAGGCGGATGAAGTGCAGGCGGTGCAGCTTGAACTCAAGGGAGCTATTGAGCTCTAGCAGGCGCTGCCGGTGGGAGACAGCCCATCTGGGAAGAAAAGGGTCAGTTTAGTGGGACTGCTGGTGCTGGAGAGGCCCTGGTAGAGGGCCCTTTACAAGGAGGCCCTAGAGACCTGTGTGAGGCCCTTGAGGCAGGGCTACAGAAATACAGGCAGGCCCTGGGCCCAGAGAGGCTGGGACAGACCATCCACTGGCCCAACCACAGCCCTCTTACTCCAGTGCAGGCCCCAAGTCTTGTTCATGCAGCGCTTCCAAGATCCGATTCAACTCCAAGAAGGGCTGCTTGAAATCCAAGTCCACATTCAGTGTTGATTCCTGTGAAGAGACACAGAGATCCCACCATTGGAAGACAGTGTTTCCAAAATTTTGTCATGTGTATTAATAAAACTTCATCTGCCAAAGACTGGCTGAATGGAGGAAGCATTTACAAGAGCTGTCATCTCCTGCCAGCAGCCTGCGCCCCTCTTGTTCTGGTTCCGGTTCTGGGGAGGCCAAGTGCCACATGCTGATCTCCCAGAGGACTGGAGACAGTCCTTGGACTTGGCACTGAACGACCTAGTGAGAAAATTATTCCTTTTCTAATTCTATTATGACAAAGTCTCCCTTACTTTCACTGGCAATGTGTCTTTACCACCTAACAAAGTCTACCTTGACATTTCACTAATCTTTTTAATGAAGGGATATCAGTCCTTGGCTCAGCACCCTGGCTGGCAACCAGCTCTAACTAGAAACCAGTAACTTTGCTCTTCATCACATATATTTTTAGAGCTGCCTTCTATTTTATGTCAGGGGACTGATTTCCCTTCTAAAATAAATGTGTTTTAGAATGTCAGGGACTTACTGGAAAGAAAATTGTCAGGTAAGAGGTACAACAGAGCCTGGTCCAGTAGTACACAGCTGTAATCCTAACTACTTGGGAGGAAGAGATCAGGAGGATCGTAGTCTGAGGCCAGCCCAGGCAAATACTTTTGAGAGACCTTATCTTGAAAATACCCAACACAAAAAAGGGCTAGCTCAAGTGGTAGAGCACCTGCGAAGCAAGAACAAGGCCCTGAGTTCACACCTTAGTACTGAAGGGGAGGGGAAAAAATAGGATGGGTGCTACTTGGGAGGCTGACACTGGGAGGATAGTGATTTGAAGCCACCCCAGGCAAATAGTTTGCAAGACCCAATCTCCAAAATAACCAGAGTAAAATGGACAGAAGGTGTAGCTCAAGTGGTAGAGTACCCTGCTTTGGAAGCACAACCCTGAATTCAAACCCCAGTGCCACCAAAAAAATCCCTCAGTACCTTCCTAGCCGAGCCAGAGCCTGGTGCAGCAGTTACCTGACACAGCTCTTCGGCAACGCTGAGCATGCCCTGCTGGTAGAGGTGCTCTACAATAGCCATCTGCAAAATCTGCTGCTGCTTCTCCCGAGAGTCCCACACTGCATCCGAGACTACACCGCAAATCTCAGAGTCAAAGTTCTGACAAGGAGAGACAAGGTCCTGTGACTCAGGTACTCACGCTTGCTCTCCTGCCAAGCCCAGCACACACTAGCTCCAGGGGCTTCTACTCCAGGCCTGGGACCACCCACATGCTTACCCTGTCAATAGCTTTCCCTACTCGAGACACACTGCTATGAATGTCCTTGTGGTCTGAAGCCAGTTTCTGGACAGTGTCTTTGATCTTCCGGCAGCACTGGGACATCACCAGGGAAAGAGTGGCTGAGAGAGGGGTCCCCTGGAGAGCTGCAGAGAAACAGTGGACTGAGTCAGGACACAGAGGAGGCTGAGCACCCTCTTCACCAGATCCTGTCTTTGCCTCCTCTATTCTAAATACCAGCCCGGCAGCCCAGGGAGCTCCCTGAACTCCAAGGGAAATACCTAGCTTCTACTCCAGGTCCTGCCACTTTTTAACTGCATGCCTTGGAAGTGGTCAAGTGGGACAAGCCAGTCTCTTGATGACTTCATTTCTTCATCTGTAAAATTGTAGGTTGCTAGGAAATGAAGATGATTTGGTGCTCACTGTGTTGTGTACTTTATTTTAGCTCATGTACTGTATTCATACATAGAATTCTGTATTTTTTGTTGTTGTTTTGTAGTACTGAGTTTGAATTCAGGGGCCTATACCTTGAGCCACTCCACCAGTCCTTTTTTTTTTTTTTTTTTTGTGATGAGTATTTTCAAGATAGAGTCTCTTGAACTATTTGCCCTGGCTGGCTTCAAACTGCGATCCTCCTGATTTCTGCCTCCTGACTAGCTAGGATTACAGCTGTGAACCACTGGCACCCAGCTGAATTCTGTATGTTTTTAATGTCAAGTTAAATAAGGCTACTATATAACCCAGCAATTTCACTTCCAAGAGATGAAAACATACAGCCACATAAAAGTGCCTGTATGTGGATATTCTTAGGGGCATTATTCGTAAAACCAAAATGCAGTCTATTCATACAATGGAATGTTATTCAGCTATAAAAAAGTTATGAAGTACTGGAAGTTTTGAAACATGCTACAGCGGGGATGAACCTTGAAAACATGTTGGGCTGGGGATGTAGCTCAGTGACAGCATTTGCCTAGCATGCTCCAGGCCCTGAGTTTGATCCCCAGCACAGAAAAAAGAAAGAAAAAAAAAAAAACCTCAACAGAAACAGCAAAAATATATGCCGACGAAAGGTGCTGGAAACAAAATGCTATATATGATTCTGTTTACATGAAGTACTTAGAGTAGGAAAATCCACAGAAAGATGGTAAGTGAGTGCCACAGGCCAAGGACATGGAGGAATGGAGATTGTTAGTGGGTTGGGTATATTTTGGGGATGAAGAAAATATTCTGAAATTAGATACTAGTAATAATTGTACAATGGTGTAAATATACCTAAAAAGAGTGACCTGTACAAAATGATAAGTTCAATGGGAAGTGAATTACAGGGGAAAAAAAAAAAAAAGACACAGGAAGCAGGGTTCCTTCTGGTCAAATCTAAAACAAGATGGATGTTAAATCAGAATGTTAAAATAAATCAATATATGTCAATGATTCCAGCACTCAGGAGACTGAGGCAGAAGGATCACTGCTTAGGCTACATAGTGAGACACTTTAAAAAAAAAAAAAATCAGAGCCAAGCACCGGTGGCTCACACTTGTAATCCTAGCTACTTGGGAGGCAGAGATCAGGAGGATCAAGGTTCAAAGCCAGCCTGGGCAAATAGTTTGAGAGACCCTATCTCAAAAATACTTGTCACAAAACAGTGTTGGTAGAGTGTCTGCCTAGCAAGCATTAGGCACTGAGTTCAATCCCAGACCAAAAATTAAAAAAATCCATCACTAGGCACTAGACAATGTATATGTATATGTATCTACAGAAACACACAAACATACAGAGATTGATAGTGTGTGAGTGTACAGACACCAATAAAAAAATAGCTAAATGTAGTAATGACCTTGGATTGGATCCTAGACTACATTTCTGGGACAATGGCAAAATTGAACCATGGTCATGAGGTGATAATATTTTATCAGTGTTTCATTTTTTAATCTTTTTTTTGGTGGTACTGGCATTTGAACTCAGGACCTCACACTTGCTAGGCAGGCGCGCTTACCACTTCAGCCACTCTGCCAGCCCTATTACACTGTTCTCGATATTAGAAATTAACACTGAAGGTTTAGGGAGGAAGTTTATTTTCAAATAGTTAAGGAGTATTAATAACAAGCAAGAAAATAATAAGGCAAATACGGCAATATAGTTGGTGGATCTGGGTGGGATGTATATATTAGTTCCTTTTTAATTTTTTTTGCAGTGCTAAGCTACATCTCCAGTCCTTGTTCCCTTGGTTTTTTTATTATTGTTATTTTTTTTTCTGGTGGTAATGTTAATAGTTTCAGGCAAATAATTTCTGTTGGGCTTTTTGAAAGAGCTGAGACTGCCATTATTTCTCTTGAAGGTGGCCTAAGGATGCATGTATCAATGTCCTAGCCATCATCCTTCTGAAATTCCAAGTGGCCTTGTATCTCCCATATGCACAGGGAGGCTGTCAAGAAACTTCCGTGAGGGTGCACACCCACCTGCACTGGCCAGCTCAGCCCGCAGCTGGCCCACATAGTGCAGCAGCTCCTCAAGGCTCTGCTCGCAGTGCTGCCCATAGGTCAGGAACTTCTGCAGCACCTTGTCCAGCTCTCTCTCCACGCACGCACACTGCTCCATGGTGGCCTCTGCCTGGGGAGGTCAGCTGGATCAGACCCCATCCTACATCATATACCAACACTCACACACAAATACCCTGCTTAACCAAGTCTATCTGTCCACAACTTTCCATTAATATCAGCTGGGGTACCCAGTGGAGATATGGGCTAGTACAAGAACCCAAGTTTTTTGAATCATGGTGAAAAAATTACTGTTTTCAACTCTTTCTTCCCTATTAACCTTTGTTCATCAATCTTTCTGAACAGTTGTTTGGTTCTTTTGGTAGTACTGGGGTTTGAACTCGGGGGTCTTGCTAGGAAGGCACTCTACCAACTTGAGCCATGCCCCAGTCCTTCATCTCCTTTCTAACCAGAAGAGAAAGTAGACTGCATACAGTTCTCACCAGGCTACATGATCTAACTAGAAATCCATATGCGTGTGAATTAAATCCACATGAATGTGGTCATAGCTCAGGTATTTTCATATATGCATTACTGTCACCCTCTCTTACCATCAGTGGAACTGGTTTTCTATGTACTGCAGTGAGATAAGCCATGACGATAATCCTTGAATAGCTGATATTTGGAAACAACTTAGGGAATGACTGCCAACCTTGTTGGCCTGATAGGTCTGGCCTGCCACTCTAGCCTCAGCTTCACCCAGAGACACATGCCTTGTGTCTAGACAACCAGAACCCTTACTCTCACAGCTCAATGCCCTGGTACATGCTGTGTCTTTCCCAGGTCTACTCTCTGGCCAAACTTTCCAGGTTAGCTCAGCTGTCTCTGGAAGCTGGCCCTAGTTTGCTGTCCCATGCCATCCCTCTCCCTCTGCTTCTTCCTTCTGTTTCAGTATTGTTTGTTTTTTGTGGTACTGGGGTTTGAATTCAGGTCAAACCTTTACCTTGAGCCACTCCAGCAGCCCTTTTTTGTGATGGCTTTTTTCAAGATAGGGTCTTGCGAACTACTTTCCAGGGCTGGCTTTGAACCACAATCCTCCTGATCTCTGCCTCCTGAGTAGCTAGGATTACAGGTGTGAACCAGGCACCCAGCTTCTATTTCAGTTCTGATCACAGGGCAACGACCTGACTGAAGGCCTGCCTCCCACACCAGATTACAAGTTCTCTTGCTGTAATACAACCTTCTCTCCTTTATTATATCAGAAAGAAAGGTGATTTTTCTTATTCCACCTTCTCTATCACTGTGGCTCCCTTCTTAACCCTTCCCACTGCAACCCTCCATTTCAGAGCAGCCTTCATTGCTGAGTGCAGGCAATCCTCACAATGCTGGCATTAGAGTTGACTTCCTTTCCCATCACCTACAGTACTGAGAGGGCTGTGCTATATGTCCCTCTAAAATGGTCAAATCTAGATGTCTATTCTCCCAAAGAAAAGTACAGAGTAACCCCATAAAGAGAATCCTGGTCCAAGGTCAGCATCAGGATCCTCCCCATTCCCATCAGTACCATCAGTCCTGGCCTCCCCATCTCAGCCTCACTCTATAGCCACCATCTCCTTTCCAGGCAGGGGACAAGTGAAAGGAAATGACACTGAGGGCCTTGGGATTTGTCTACACTTTGTCTCTTTTTGGCTGATACTATCAAAGAGACTACAATTTGTATCATGGTGTTCAGAAAATATGTCAACCCCACACAAATACTCTATAACTAGATGTGAACCATTATGAGAGAAGTATAACAGGGACTCCCACATACAATGATATGCTAATAACTGCTATTATTAATAGCTAACATTTCATAAGGGCTTATTATGTACCAGGCACTGCATCAACTGCCAGGTACATGCATTAATTCATTTACTTAATTCTCACAAAAACACTATGAGGTAGATTTACTCATTAGACCCACTTCAAGCTGAGCAAATGAAACACAGAAAGATTAAGAAAGTGGCCGAAGGTCACGCAGCTGGGAAGCAGAGGAATGGGAGCCAAAGTCGTTGGTCTGGCTCTGGGCTTCAGAGCCCTTCCCATTACAGGTAATCTCAGGACCAGCCTAACAGGCCACTCTCTCACCAGGAAAGAAAGCAGCAAGTATCTGTGGTTGAAATGAACCTACAGCAACTATTAATGATGACAAGAAACAGGAAGTTAATTGTAGGGCCTATGAGAACCATCACCTGGGGAAGGGGGCAGGATAAAAGAATGTTTGCCAAGAGTGTCTTGAGAACCAGAGTCACAATTTACCAACAACAAACATGACTCAGAAAAGGTCAGGCTCTTGGGCTGGCTAAGTGGGTCAAGTGGTAGAGTGACTGGCTAGCAAGCACAAGGCCCTAAGTTCAAACCCCAGTAGCACCAAAAAAAAAAAAATCCCAAAAAAGCAAACAAAAGGTCAGGACCTCACTAATGACTTAACAATCTGGCACTCCTGGATAGCAACTGACATTGGGATCATCAAAGGGAAACCTGGATCAGCATCCTGAAATTGAATTAAAAAGTTGAGGAAGGAGCCAGGTACAACATTAGATAGGTATAGGATTTTCACCCTAGCACTGCTGACTGTGACAAGAAGTAAGGAGACAATACAGGACCTCATCACTACAGGAATCAATAGGTAAAATGTGAGGGATGCGCCTGTGCAAAGCTGTGAATCGTTTAGAAAGTTTGGTTCACATATGCCTAGAGCAACAACAAACCCTAAAACACTGCCTTGAGGGGGGAAAAGAAAAGAAAATGAAGTCTAGGCAGATTAGTCTCCCCATTTATATAAGTTAAAAATGTAAGTATATGGCCTGAAGTGGTAGAGCACCTGGCTGGCAAATGCAAGGCCCTGAGTTCAAATCCCAGTATCACCAAACTTTTTTTAAAAAAATACATATATACAACCAAGGCAAATAAAAGATATACATATACACCAAATAAGAGGACATACAGTTGTTCCTTAGTCCATGGGACATTGGTTCCAGGACTACGCTTGGACACCAAAATCTAGGAGTGCTCAGGTCCCTTACATAAAATAACATAATACTGGATATAACCTACACACACACACACACACACACTCTCTCTCACTCTCTCTCTCTCTCTCTCTGCAGTATTGGGGCTTGAATTCAGGGCTTACACATGAGCCACTCTGCCAGCCCTTTTCTCTAAAGGGCTTGTTTGAGATAGGGTCTTAAAAACTATTTGCCCAGGCTGGCTTCAAACCATGATCCTCCTGATCTCTGCCTCCTGAGTAGCTAGAATTACAGGCATGAGCCACTGGTGTCTTTTTCTTTCTTTCTTTCTTTTTTTTTTCCTTTGATGTGGTGCTGGGGAGCAAATCCAGGGCCCTGACAAAGCTAAGCATGTGCTCTGCCACTGAGTTACACCCCTCACCCCTCCCTAACACTTCATTCATTTATTTATTTCCAGTGATAGGGAAGGAACCCACAGTGTTGCACCGCACATGCTAGGCTCCGCCAGTGAGTTATATCCCAGCCCCCCAGCCCTTGTTTTGTTTTGTTTTTTAAGACAGAATCTTGCTATGTAGCACAGGCTGGCTTCAAACTTGCAATCCTCATGCCTCAGCCTCCTGAGGCATGCCCTCTGAACTTCAAATCATCTCTAGATTACTTATACCTAATACAATGTAAATGCTATGTAAATAATTGCTTCCCAGTGCTATCCAGGGAATAATGACCAAAAAAAGTCTGAGCCGGGTACCAGTGGCTCACATCTGTAATTCTAGCTACTCAGAATGCAGAGATCAGGAAGATCATGGTTCGAAGCCAGTCCAGGCAAATAGGTCAGGAGACCCTATCCCAAAAAAACCCATCACAAAAAAGTGCTAGTGGAGTAGCTCAAGGTGTAGGCCCTAAGTTCAAACCCCAGTGCTGCAAAAAAGATACAAAAAGAAAAAACTATCTGTACATGTTCAGTAATGACATAATTCATTTTCTACCTTTTTTTTTTTTTTTTTGGTGCTACTGGGGTTTGAACTCAGGGCCTCATGCTTGCTAGGTAGCCACTCTACCTCTTGAGCTACTCCACCAGCCCTCTGCCTATTTTCAGTCCAACCTTGGTTGAATCCATGGATATTGAACCAGTGGATAGAGCAGGCTGAGTGTATACCAAATGCACTGGAATGGTTTCCTATGGTAGAGAGAAAAGGGAGGGATGGGAATACATAAATAAACACAAATAAGAAAAAGGCCCTGCATGGACCAATTAAACATACCAAGAACTGTGAAGTGAATTAACTAAATAAAATATTTAAAAACAAGGGGGTAGGGGGTGTAGCACAGTGGTAGAACACTTGCTTAGCATATGTGAGGCCTGGGTTCCATCCCCAGCACTACAAAATAAATAAATAAAATTAAAAGTTAATAAATGGCTGGGCACTGGTGGCTCATGTCTGTAATCCTAGCTACTCAGGAGGCAGAGATCAAGAGAACTGCCATTCAAACCCAGCCCAGGCAATAATTTGCAAGATCCCATCTCCAAAATACCCAACACAAAATAGGGCTGGTGGAATGGCTCAAGTGAGAGACCACCTGCCTGGCAAGCAGGTGGCCCTGAGTTTAAATCCCAGTACTGCAAAAAAAAGAAAAAAGAAAAAAAAAGTTAAATAAATGAACTGGGAAAATAGAACTGCTTGCAGGTATTATACCCAAAGAGCCCAGGAGGCTAACTCAGTCCATGCAGAGCGAGCTTCACTGCCTGAATCAATCCATCTTCCCCAGACACAAGGACATGAGTACATCTGTCTGATGGGCCATGATTAATGTGTCAATAACTGCAATTTTTACATCCACTGGTCCTGAGCCTTCCTCCCCAAGGTCTCCCACATACAGAAATTATCCACCAGGGTGATCCCGCCTAAACACACATCAGAACCTATACCCCTTTCTTCAATACTGCCATGGCCCGCCATATATGCCCTGTGCAATCATACTCACTTCTTTGCACAAGATGTTGAAGTCTGAGCGTGCCCTCTGCACTTCTGCTGCAGTTTAATCACCAACTCCTCAGGAAGCCCTCCATGACACCTTCCTGCCTCATTTTCAGTTTCACAAACCTGTCCAGGGTTTGTCCCTTCCACACACTCTTATTACCCCCTACAGTGCACAACTACTGTTCACATAACTCCCTATACTGTCCTGTGAGCTGCACAAGGACAGGAAGACTGGACTCTCCAGCCCCTCTCATTAGTGCCCAGTCCAGGGCCTGGCCCACCTGATGTGTTCAGTAAGCATTTGCAGATTACATGGGACACCCAATTCCTGACTTTGGGCCTGAGCTCAAAGTCTTAGGGTAGGGGCTGGTGAAGTGGCTCAAGCAGTAAGAGCGCTTGCTCAGCAAGTGTGAAGCAAGTTCAAACCCCAATACTGCCAGTGGCTCACACCTGTAATCCTAGCTACTTGGGAGGCAGAGATCAGGAGGATCACGGTTCGAGGCCAGCCAGGGCAAATAGTTTGAGAGACCCTATCTCGAAAAAAAAGAAATCACAAAAAAGGACTGGTAGAGTGGCTTAAGGTGTAGGCCATTAGTTAAACCCTAGTCCGTGCCAAAAAAGTCTCAGGGTGGGCAGGAAAAGACAGGAGGGAATAGTAAAATCCCTATCTAGGCAGGCATGGGGGTTTGCTCCCACTCTTCAGCATCCTGAAATAAGACAGCTCGTAGGGTGGGGAGAAGGGAAACTTTTAAAAATCATGGAATGATGTCCCCATTGCCTGACACAGAACTGGACAGCCTCCACTGACCTAATTCTTATAATTTTGCAGTCCCCTCCTCTATCCCTTCTCTATTTTACATATCATTCCTCTGCCAAAAAACAACAGATTTCACTGTACTTAAAATAAAATCCACACTCCATCCTATGGCCTACAAAACACTGTGTGAATAAATCCTCAACTACTTCCTCCAGCCTCGTCTCCCACCGCTCTCCCCCTCTCTTGCCATACTTTGGCCACAGAGGCCTTCTTTCTGTTCTTTGACTTTATCCAGTTCATCTGTGCCTCAGGACCTCTGTCCTCTGCATGGAACACTCTTTTCCCATCTCTCCCCATGAATGGCTCCTTCTTATTTGGGTCTCAACACAAATGTCATCTTTCCAGAGACGCTCTCTTAGACCACAGTATGGAATTCAGACCCTCTGTCCTAACCTCAAACCAGTCACCCTGCCTATTCTTTTGTTTTTTTTTCATTGCACATTACTATTTGAAGTTGCAAATCCCTTTTCTCACTAGCCAAAACTGGAAGGGAAAAAAGTCCTGGTCAGCAGCACCTATTGGGGTTTCCTCGGCATTAACGTGCAAATGAGTGGCAAACTCTTATTCATCCTTCAAAAGACCCTGCTCAAAAGCACTGACCGGCAGCTGGTTACCTCCGACCCAGTCGGGTCGCACTAGGACGGGACGTCAGGATTCGACCGACTCCTCCGACTGCGGCAGCTCTTGGAGGGTGGGGCCGAGTCCTCCCGGTCTGTGGGACGCCAGCTCGCGGGCGGGGGCCGACGGCTGCAAAGAGAACAAGTCCAAGGCGGATTGGTTCAGGACGAACTTGGGGGGCTTCCGGAGAAGGCCAGGGCCTGGGCGGCTGGCCGCAGCAGCAACGGCGCCCCTCGCCTAGGCCAGCCGGCCGCCCCGCCCTCTGCCAGCACCTTCAGGCCCAGGACCCGCTGGCTCTAACACGGTGCTGGCAGCCCGGCCCAACTTCCGGCGCTGTCAGCGGAAGCGGAAGGCGCGGTGGTTGCACTCCGAATCCGGACTGGTCCATGAGTGGTTTCGCAGAGGGGTGGCAGCCTAGTTTTCCCCTCCAGCGCGTGCCGAGTGGAGTCGTCCGTGGGGGCGTAGAGACGGCCGAAGTCACGCCTCAGCCGTCCCGGCCCGCGCCCTCGTGACCCCGGGCCCCAATCCCTGCGGCCCCGCCCAGAGCCTGGCAGTCGGCGGAAAGGAGTTGGGCGGAAGCACTGGCTCGCGGCCCGGGTGTACGCGGGAAGAGGTGGCCCGCGCACCTTGCTGGCAGGCTGAGGCCCCAAGTTACGCTGCGCTGCTCTCCCTCTCAAAGTAACGACTGGCCGGGGCGTGGCTCAGTGATGGAGCGCTGGCCTAGCAGGCGCAAGGCCGTAGGTTCCATCCCCAGCACCAGAGCGGGGGGTGGGGGGGAAAAATACCCAAACAGCATCTTACATGTAGTGGGGTCCAACAATTAGGCTTTTCCCGCAATGCTGTTTTGAAATAGCAAATGATATTTTTAAAAAGAGTCCTGCCAGGCACCGGTGGCCCTCGCCTGTAATAGCTACTTGGGACGCTAAGCTCAGAAGGCTCTGGTTCGAGGTCAGGCCCAGCAAACACTTCTGAAGACCCCATCTCCAAAATAACCTGAGCAAAATAGACTGGGGGTGTGCCTGCCTTGTAAGTGCAAAGCCCTGAGTTCAAACCCCAATCCCACCAAAGAAGAGTCCCGTTGGGGGCTGTTTGCGGGCCTGAGGTGTGCTCAAGTGGTAGAATGCGTCCATACCCCCAGTACTGCCACAAACTGCTCTTCTCGGGAGGGGGGCAGTAAAATGGTATAGGGGCTGCACATCTACCCTAAGTAGGAAGAGGAGGAAGGGTAGGTGAGTGAAAGGAGAGAGGAGACCCCCAAAACCCAGGAAAGGACCGAACTGAGAATCCTCCCAGGCCTTCTTGTTCTGAAAGAAGGAGCAGAGAACCCCTCAACCTCTCCACAGACCTCCAAGACTTAGACAAGAAACAACCCCAAAATAAAGGCTTCTGTTTCCCCGACTTGCAGATTTTCCCTTTTCCGGCTGGTCTTACTCCAGTCCATTCCCTTCTGGTAACTTCACGCCTCCACTTCTCCGCCTCCCTCACTCTTGCACAATCTTGTTTTGTTTTCATTGGAGCACTTGCACAATCCAGCTTTGTTTTCTTTAGTTTTGACTTGAAAATATGTGTTTACTTATTGACTGTCTTCTGGCCCCTAACCCTGCCTTCCCCCTACTTTTAGGATAAAAGCTCCTTTGGGACCAAGACTCTTTTTTTGTCTTCTCTGCTGAACGCAGTAGGTGCACAGAGATATCCTCCCCTTAGGAAAGGGGAGATACGGCTCAGAACCTTAAGAAATCCGGTAGGGAAGAGGGCGGTGCGGAGAGGACCAGGCGCTTGGGGACGCAGCATCCTGGAGAAGCTGGGTGCACGCCGAGCCTGGGTGGTCTCGGCCCACGCGGAAGCCGCGGGGGCGAAGAGTTGAATGAGTCCTGCTCCCGGCCAAGGGCAGAGTCCCAGTCGACAGGACCTCACAAGCTTTCGAAAAGTGCCCCAGGCTCCCCGACTTCCTCTCCGGAGTCCTGGCCGGCCTCGCTGCCAAGAAGTGTGAGCAAAGCCTGGCTTCTCCAAGAACCTAGATCGCCGCTCACATCAGGCCTTTTAATCTTTGTCATCGTCTCCCCTAGTAGGTGGCTATCCTTGCCTTCGCCTTGTTACTTTTAACTGTGTACCCAAGTTTCACGACACAGTTCATTTTGTCATTCTTTCCTCATTGCGATTATGCTTTTGGATTTTTATTGGGGGATGGGATTGTTTTAAAGCAGATCGCTTCAATTATCTGTTGTGTGCTCATTTTTTTGCCAGTTTCCTAGGATTTATTTAAAATTTTTAACTCAAAAAGAAGAAAAAATACCCCCACTGTCCGTTTCATTTCAAAAGAGGGGGGTGCAATGTATGATGGCTTTCACCCTACTTTTGTGTAGTTATTCTAAGCACTTCTTATTAAATATTCCGTCCTTAGCCTCTTTTGCAAGCCCTTTATCGCACATTTTCTCTACAAAACGGAATCTGTTTCTGGCTCTTCATTCTTTCCATGGAAGTGTAGATTTATTTTTACATCATTGTCCTAATATTTTTCTTGCTACTTTGTAGTATTTTCTGATTACTTATTAAGAGAGGTGGGGGAAAAAAATTGCTCAAGGCTATTGAGAAAGTTGATCAGTGGTTGCCATGGGTTAGAGGTAGGAAAGGAGATGCCTGGAGGGGCACAGGGAAATTTTGAGAGGTGATGCAACTATTCTGCATCTTGATTATAGGGTTGGATATACAGCTCTACGTTTGTCAAAACTCTCAAAATTGTACCCTAAAAATGATGAGTTTTTCTGATGTGTAGCTAATTGGTAGAGCACTTACCTAGCATGCTCAAGGCCCTGGGTTCAACTCACAGCACCAGGAGGGAGAATTTATCTGTCTGTCTATCTATCTATCACCTGTCTTTATCTCTCCAAGCATGTGGCTATCCTTGCATTCCACATTGTTACTTTTCAAAGACAGCTACACCTCAAAAAATTGCAGGGGAGGGGAAGGCACACCTATACAAAACCTTAAAAAAAAAAAAATCAGGGCGCTGGTGGCTTATGCCTCTAGGCCTAGCTATTTGGGAGGCTGAGATCAGGAGGATCAAGGTTCGAAGCTATCCCAAGCAAATAGTTCATGAGACCTCATCTCCAAAATAACCAGAGCAAAATGGACTGGACAGAGGTTTGGCTCAAGCAGCAGAGTACCTGCTTTTCAAGTTCAAGCCCTGAGTTCAAACCCCAGTCCTACCAGGAAAAAAAAAAAAAATCATTCTTGGCCAGAGGACAAGCCCTCTAAGGTCAGGTGCTCTCTTGGAAATGCAGCCTTCCTTGTCTCACAGCAAGTTCTGGAAGGCAGCGCTAAGTGAGTGAGAGATACAGCACTGCCTATCTCCTCTGCAGACTCCAGGAGCACCAGGGCCTGGCTCAGGGGAGCCACAGCTGCCTTCCCTACCTCCCTGGCCTGGCCCAGGTCCTACTCAAGTCTTCAACTCTTCCTTCCACTCTCCAGGTGGCTCTCAAACAGTGCCTTGCCTCCTCTCCCTGTAGTGTCTCTGGAGAGCCTTGTAAGTCTTCAGTTCAAATCAGAGCTGCCTACCTAATTTGCAGGGTGCAACAGAGCATAACATAAGTGAAGGGCACTGTGTGTACACAGATTGTGCACATAAAAAACCAATGCTGGTTTTAGCCCTTGCCTTTGGATGCTTTAGGGACTCCTGTGCTAGCTCACCAGGCTGCCCAGGACCTGCTATGTCTCCCATTCTCCTAGCCCCCCTCCCCAGCTTCTAGGCAGCATCCCTTCCTTGGCATCTACCCCATACTTCCCCTATATCTAAGTCCAGATTTGCCCTGGGATGCCTTCCTCACACACTGCTCCAGAGGAACCCCTCAACTTTAGTGAAGGTCAGCTTGGCCTTTCCCACAAGGAGGCTGAACTCGCAGGCCACCACCTGAACTAAGTGAGCACATTGTCTATCTCAGCTCCCACAGCAGGCACTCCAGAGCCTTATCACTTCTGTGACATATATCACTGAATCCAGTATGGTGGGCTAAGCCTCTAGGCATGAGGGGGCTATTGAAGAACCCCTGAGGGGTCTGCACCCTCTGGAGAAAAGCTCCCTAAACCCATGTCCTCCAGTCTCAGAGAAAATGATTGTCACAGTCCCTCCTTTCTCTACAACACTCACTGATTTTCTAGCCACCACCATGGAAGTCTCCTCTGTTGTCCCCAGGTCAGTATGTCTGAGATCCTCTGTCTTCTTCAACTCCTGCCTGGCCCTCATCACCATCTGGAATGGCCTCCATTGACGTGGACATGTATTGTCTTACTCCTCCATTCATGAGTAAGTGACACAGGGGCAGAGGCCCCAGGGTGTTGACCACCCTGAGAACTGAAGCAAATAGTGACTAGCTCTGGAACCACCCCCTCCCCATACATAGCACAGACCTGTCATGGAACTGTGCTCATGAATGGCTCCAAGTTAGAGGCTTCCCTACCCCTCATCTCAAAGCCATCCTAGTTGGGAAATAGGGTCTGATCACCCCTGCTTCAACATCCCCAAAAGTGCCTTCTGGGGCTGGAGCCAGAACAGATGGAGGGTGGGATGAGGAGAACAGAGGACACCGCCCTGTCCTGGTAACGCCCATAGCTCAACTGAGACAGGCAAAGCATCAATTACAGCTGTGTAGAAAGAAGCAGAGGCATAAGGGAGCTGCAGGCACGGCAGGGGAGGGGTGAGCTCAGGGGGGCTTCTTTGGAAGGCAGCTATGCTCATCAACTATACCACCAAGGCCTCCAAGAGGGCCTTCTTTAAGAAACAAGACCTAGGGGGAAGAGGGAGACGGAGGGGGAGGGGGGCATAAACAATGTATACACATGTAAGTAAATGTAAAAATGATAAAAGGAGAAAGAAAAAAAAGAGAGAGAGATAAGATCTGTGCACTGCCTGCCTTCTCTGTGGAACCCAGGTGCACCAGGGCCTGGCCAGGGGAGCCACAATTGCCTTCCCTGCCTCCCTGGCCAGGCCCAGGACCTGCTCAAGCCCTCAACTCCTTCCACCCTCTCTCCCTATTCCTACCCCTCCTTACAGGTCTTTGGCACAGGATGGCCTGGAGGATGAGGGTCTGGAGGGCCAAGAAGGGCTACAAAGGCCATTGAGGTCGGAAAAGGGCATCACTCTCAACGACCTTAGAGGCCTGTGTCATAGGCCTCAAGCAGCAGGCTAAGGGACTCAGAGAATGGCTAGAAGGTATGATGAGTGAATAGGAGGAACCAGAGGCAGAGAGCGCAGTGCAGTGTGGGGCCTTGCCACACTTCCACAAGCTGGCTACCTGGGTCAGGTGTGCTGGGCAGGGGGACACAGGGGAAAGCCGAGCCTAAGGGAAGTTAGGGGCTCACTAGGGGCAGGAGGTGTTACCCCCAAACAGTAGCCAGGACAGTGTGCCACTGTGACAGTGACACCTGTGACCAGCTGGCCTTGAGCCACCCAGCCTGCTTGGGGACCAGGGAACTGGTTTGCCCAGCACTGATGAGCTAACAGGGATCTGATTCTCTGAACTGCCCTCCCCCTACATCTGGGCCTGGCCTTGGTTTCTGGCATGGCTGCCAAGTTTTGGTACCGCCCACCCACTCCCCGCTGGCTGTACTGGCCGGCCCAGCTCTCTTAATTGCTGGGTGGGGAGCTGTTCTGCAGAGCTGGTGTACCAAAAAGTGGGCCCCAATCACCCTAGGGCAAATGGGCGCCCTGCCGGACCAGCTTCTGGCAGTGGTGAGGGGCAATCCAAGCTTCAGGCCGGCACTCAGTTTGTTAGGAAGGGAACTTCTGAGCGCCTATCAGCCCAGAGACCTACGTTTGAAGGAAGCTATCAATTAAAAATGGGTACCAAGGTCTGTGGGTCTGGCCTGCCTATGCCAGGCCTTTCCCCTTCCCAGGCAGGGAACCTCAACTCAGGTGTGTGCCTATCTGGGTCTCAACTAAGCTCAGGGGTCTGTCTGGAACACGGGGACTACCCAGGTGTGGCCAGTGCAGAGGGATTGGGGCTGGCAAGAAGGAGACAGAGGAGAACCAGGAAGTCAGCCTTCCTGAACTGCAACCCAGGAGCTAGCTTTTGGAGAGGCCAGGTGCCCAAACACACCCCCTTAGACACACCCACCACCCACAAGCACATCTCCACGTACATCTGCCACTCACAGAGCCATAAACAAAGCATCCCACAGCCAACAACTCACACACCCCACTCTCCACCCTAAAAGAGGCAGGATCCATCAACTCATGCACCACAGCCCACAAGTAGCCATCCACACCCCAGCAGTCACCTGTTGGGTTTAAGGAACTGCCAGGCATGGCCTGGGAGGACCAAAAAACATCTAAAAGCAGCAACCTACACCTCTGTAGCACATCTAAGAGGGCCTGAGTGGCCCTTCCAGGGAAGGAACTAGAGGGCAGATGGCTGTGTTTCCTGTCCCAGGAAACACATCAAATTCACCCAGTACCTCCAAACCCACAGGGACCCAAAAAAGTGCAGGCAAACAGTAAGCACTCAGTGTATGGTAGCCATTCTGATGATGCATCTGTAATGAACCAGAGCTTTCTTTTTAGAGGTGGGGGAACTGGTTGGGAGGCTGAAGCAGAAGGATCATGAATTCAAGGCCAGCTGGGGCTACATAGCAAAGCCATCTCAAAGAAAAAAAATAAAAAAGCGGAGGAGACACTACTTATATTAGGTCACCCACACAGGAGGGGAGCAAAGGGCCAGATCAGAAGCCAGACCAGGCAGGAAGGACGGTAGGTTTTAAGAGGACCTGGGACCAGCCTTGGCTGAGAGCAGGGGTCAAAGAGGACTGAATCCTGAGGCAAGTACAGGACAGAGGCACAGAGTGAGGGGCTGCTTCTTCCCAGAGCATTCTAGGATACAATTCAGCCCTCATTGCTTATGAGAAAATGTTCCATCCCTTGCTCTGATGAAGGCCCTTTACTAAATGACCCATAAGCTTCCCCCATCAAGCTTCTGCATCTGCCTCTGGCCCCCACCCTCATGGAAGGAGTGTACCACTGGCAGACAGAGATGGGAAGGGAGCTCTAGAAGAGGCAGATCGCTATTGGAGTGTTTGGATGCTCCAGGGGAAGCTGTTTTGGGCTGGCCCCAAATCCAGCAGGGGCCTGGGCATTCAGGGTTCAGACTTCCCACCGAAAGAACATTTCCTGTGTTCAAAATGCCTTGGTTGACTTGTCCTTTTGTTTTCCAGGAGTTCCCTGGTATTGTTCCTTCTGAAAAATCCACTGGTGCTAAAGAAAGGAATTTCAGCCCACACAACAACTATGGTACTGTGTGGCACTGGAACAAGGAATAAGATTCCTTCACTCCCTAACATGCATGATCAGCAGCTTTGCACAGCACTCTCCCAATGACCATGATCACAGGAGGAACTCCATATGGCCTAGGTCAATGGGCCCCTAATCCACGAACCTCTGGATTAGGGCCAGGAATGTACCCAATGTATCACCCAGGGCTTCCTCATAAAAAATGTGGTTTTATTCTGGAGGAGGCCAATGTTCCCATCCCAGGCTCCTTTGATCAAAGAAGGTCTAAACCCAGGTCTCCAGTCACCCTCCCTCATGCCTGCCCTTCTCCATCATGGAGCTATAGACTCTTCAACCTCCTTCACTGGGCCACACCCACTCCAGGGAGCAGGGCTGGGCCCTGCCTGGGTGCTGCTGTACCAGGAGGGCCTTGCCCTGGCTCCTGCAGCCAGCACCCTATCCAGCTCAACACCCACTGGATCCCTCCTCTCTTCTCTCGGTGGGCCTCTCATCTTTGGCTGGCCTCTGCAGATTTCTGCCCCACACCAGTGTAAGGGAGGAGCCAGCTGTCTTAGGGCTTCTTCTGACAGTACATCTGCTGTCAGCTCACTCTGCTGGCCTCAGATCTTGGAAGACTCTAGTCGAGGGCTCCAGGGTGTGGGAGGCTCCCGCAGCACCCGCAGCTCCTGTTCTAGCGCTTGGTTGCGGCGGTACATATCCATGTAGCCCCCCTGGATCTCCCGCTGGTAGCGCAACACTCGCTCCTTCTCCTCCTGCCAAGTCCGCCGCTCCTGCTCGAAGCGCAGTGCCTGCTCCTGACCCCGAAGCCGCTCTTGTAGCAGTTCTGCCCGCAGCTGCTCGGTGCCATCCTGGCCTCACTGCTCCCTACCTCCCCCAGCAACCCCCTGCTTTTGCAGTCATCAGTCTCACAGCTGCCTGGGGCTTCCTCCCTGGGGGCCTGCTCCTGCAGGCTGCGCACGGCCTCACGCAGCCGGGCCAGCTCTGCGTCCTGAGCCTGGGCTTGTGCCCGGCTGCCCCGAAGTTGCGTCTTCAGACTGAAGATCTCCGCCAGCTTCTGTGCCAGCTCGGCCTGGGCTTCCCGCAGCTGTTGCTTTAAGAGACTAATTTCGGCTGTCTTCTGGCACACCTGGGGGTGGGGAAACACACGATGAGCAAGGGCCAAGCAAAGAATGTGTGGGGAGCAGAGGGAGAGGGCGCAGAGTGTGGAGCCTCGACAATGGAGAAGGGAGTTTCACCTCTGGTAGTCGTACCTCCCATCGGGCTTCCTCCTCTGGCCCAGCACTGGGGTCGGACTCTGACAGGGAGCCAGGGGGCCGAGGCTCAGGGGCCAGACCCTGGTGGGCCCGTAGCTCTTTGCGCAGGCGCCGCTGCTCCTGCTGGGCCATAAACAGCTGCAACTGCAGGTTGCGCTCGCTGCGCTCGGCTTTTTGGGCCACCTCGTGCAGCCGTTCCACATACAGACGCTTCAACTCAGACAACCACAGCCGCTGGCGTTCTTCTAGCACCTGCCATAGGGAAAGTGGCACCAGTTTGGGGCCAGAGCGGCGACGCCCCGATATCCACACGAGGCCCGGTCCCCTGGAAACAATGCGCCTGCGATCACACAGATCACCACACTAATGCTGCAGCCACCACTAACTTCTTGTGCTCCTTCATCACAGGGCCCAGAGCCCCAGTCACACATGATCCCCAACCCAGGATGCCTGCAGATATAGTGTCCCCAACACATGGCCCTTCCAGAGACTCTCCCTCCTTCCTATATAACTTCCATGCAAGAACCACCAGTGACAGAATCCCTCCCACTTGGGATGCAGACGACTAGGCATCCATCTCTTTCTTACTCTCTTGTACCCGGACTCATGTGGGTCAGCTGGCTGGGGTCCCTGTCTGGCTCATACCCCAATATCGAGGGACAGAAAAGGATTCCAGGACAGGGACTCCCTCACCTGCGTGAAGGGGTTAGAGCCATCCTGGTCAGCGAGGTCCCTCTTGAGCTCATCACAGGTCTGTGGCAGCACCGCCACCACTTCCTCAGCAGTGGGGCAGGAGAATTCGTACGGGGGTGGTGGCTCAGGCAGGCAGCTCAGCACAGCCAAAGGCCCAGCCTCCTTGGGGCTCCTCGAGGCCCGGTCCAGGGAGCCCCCAAGGTGGTTGATGTGGCCCAGGGAGGAGCTGAAGGGGTTGGGGCCGGTGCCAGGACTGTGGCCAAAACTACCCCCACTGGAGGAGTCAGACAGGCTGGGCTCTGGCTCTGGGCCACCCTCATCCAGGCTCAGGGCATGCAACAGCTGTGCACGGGCCTCGCTGGCCCGGGGCCCTGGACTCAGGGGCGGGTGGCAGGCCAGTGTGTGCAGGCTGCCGTTGCTGCGCCACAGTTTCTGGCCCTTGTGGGCAGCCAGGGTCTGCATGGACAGGAAACCTTTCCCGGTGCCTGCTGCAGGTTTGAACACTGAAGGGCGAATGCGGCACTAGTAGGAGGAGAGGGCAGGTGTGAGGGAGGCCAAGCTGACCACTGCGTTTTACCCTTCAGATGCTCTATAGCCCTTGGGAATCCTCTTGGGAAACATGGGGCACATGCCACAGGGAGGTAGTGACCAAGCCTCAGCTCAGCCTGCCCAATCCTTGCCCCATCCCAGCATCAAGGCCTCCAAGGAGGGCCCAACCAACCCCTCTCCAACCTCTGGGTGCCATGTAATGGGCGTGGGTAAAGGCATACCTTATCAAAGCGGCCTCGCTCAGGCAGCGATGTCTTGCTGAAGTCACCTGCCCGAGAATGTTCCCGGTAATAGAGGGTGGCATAGTCAGCAGGCTCGTTTCGGGGTGCCCGTTTGGTGGTCTTGCCGTCCTTCTTGGGAAGGTGCAGGTAGCTGAAGAGCTCACGTTGGCTTAAGCCCTTCCGGAGAAGCCCATCAGGCTGGCGGGAGCCCCGGGATCCGGCAAGTGCAGCCCGAAGCTCTTCAGGGGAGAAGTCCTGCCGTTCCAGTAGGCTGCTGCCCACACTTCCCATGGCAATGCCAGCAGGGCCTGAGGCTGTGGCCATGAAGTTTCAACAGGGCACAGGCAGCTGCTTCTGGGAATTGGGAGGCTCCATTAGGGCAAGTGGGTGCTCAGTAACCACTTTCCCAAATGTCCAAAAACCAGGCACTTGCCCTCTGTCAGCTCCTCCACCTGCCCAGGCCCAAGAGAAGCAGATGTGGGTGGGTTCCAGAGTCTCAGGACAGGATTCATAGACTGGCAAGAGAAAGGGGTCCAGGCCCTGAAGCTAGGCGGCTGGGTGTGATTTGGAGGCATGGTGAGGAGGAATAGGTCCTTAAGCAGTAAGACAGGGGCCCACCATCCACGGCTGGGCCAGCAGGTGGCTACGGAGAATGGACTTATGCTCCATCTGACCATGACCTTGCTCACTCTCCTGCCAGGCTCCCCACCAAATTTGTAGGGTGGGGAGAAAGCCCTATAAATTGGGATTGGAGATACTCTATTTTTCCCTCTTCCCTCAGGATAACCCAGTCAGTCCCTCTTCCTGCAAAGGGTCAGAGTTCCCCTAGGGAAACATCTGGAAAGGGTGGGGTTAGCGGCTACAGTGGGAGGGATACAAACAGGAAGGACCCAAGAGGAGGAAGGATGGTGATACAAACAGGAAGGGCGCAAGAGGGGAACAATGGCGCAGTTTCCGGAGCAGGTGTTCAGGTCTGAGCAGTGGTGGAAAGCAGAGCAGAGGGGCAGCCCAACCCCTTCCAGCCTCTGCATGCTGCTGCTGTTATAACAAAGACTGCCACCAGGCAGAATGGGTCCCAAATCCCCACCTGGGACAAAGCTAATCAGTGTGTGACCGTGGCCTTGCCCACAACTTCTGTGCGAGCCTTGTCTTCCTCCACTGTACAACAGGTAATGACAGCGCTTATCACAGAGGGATGCTGGGAGGATGAGGTGAGATCACATGACAAAGCATCCAGTCCACATGTGGCTGACAGCCAGGGTCAACACAGGCTGGCTGAGGCTGAGCTTACTCCCTTGAACTCCAAGTGGCCAGGCTTACAGACTGTCATGGGAACCACACTCTAGAGGGTGGTACTGGTACATGTGTACCGCCCAGTGCCCAGCACACAGTAGGTGCAAACGACTTTCAGTGAATGCCACATTTTCTGCCTTCCACCCATGAGCAGCTGCTTCCATTCCTGAACAGATGCCCAGCAGGCAGGCTGCAGCTGGGTGTCCCCCAATATGCTTCCGGGACACCCACTCCCACCCCAAACAATGGTCGTTAGGAGGCTCCATCTTCCTCAACCATTTCCAGGTTTTGTGTTTGTAGAAGACAAAGTCTCTGGGAGGGGGAGAGTGAGTTCTGCCCTCCACCCAGAATTCTGTATCACTCAACAGCCCCTTGGGCAAAAATGGCCTTTTCAGCCCTCCTGGGCATAACTTTCTCATTTTTTGGATGCGACTGGGGTTTGAACTCAGGGCTTTGTGTTTGTAAAGCAGGCATTCTGCCAATTGGGCGACACCTCCAGTCCATTTTTGCTGTGGCTATTTTGGAGATGGGGGTCTCATGAACTATTTCCCAGGGCTAACCTCGAACCTCAATCCTCCCTATCTCTCAGCCTCCCAAGTAGCTAGGTGTGAGCCACTGGCACCTAGCTCCAGCAAAACCTTCTTGCACCCAAGGGGTGTGGGGAGAGTCTGAGTTTGTACCCCAGCCTAGCCTCATGTGAACACTGTCAAATCCTTCTGGGGGTGCCACAGGCTACACAAGCTGAGGGTACCTTACACATCCAGGTAAGGAATTACAATGGCTCTTCTTAGGTGTCTCACTGGTCCTGTGATGTCATTATTGCCCCCTTTTAAAGGCAAGGTCCCTGGGGTCAGAAAGGTGAAGTGACTTGCCCAAGGTCACAGAGCTAGTGAGGGTAAAGATGGCTGAGATCCCCACCCCATGGATGCTGAATGTCTAACAGGATCCAGGATGTCACTCACAGTGAAAAGAACAGGAATTGAGTGGTCTGGCCTCCCCAGCCACTAAACCCCTTGCCATAACAAGTCCACCTAGCAAGACAGCACTGTGCATCGAAGTGTACTCACTGACCCGTCACTGTTTCCTGGGCGGGGACAACAGAGACCCTGAGATCCAGCCAGCATCCCTCCCCCCCACCAGAACCAGACACTAATATACCTCCCTTTTCCTGCCTTCCTGATGGGGTAACTGTGACAGAGAGACAATGGAAGTGAACAGCTTTGTGAACGATGTGGCCAGAAGGGCAGGGATATTGACAGTGAAGCAAGTGTGCCTGCCTCACCTCAAACACACACCACCTCCCCTTCCCCCAGGCAGACCCTCACTTCTGGTCTCAAAAGAGATACCCACACTATGCTCCCTACAAAGGGTCTCAGGTCCAGGGGAGCTGTTGTAGCCAGGACCTACAGTACTGCATCCAACCACACATGGAACGCACTGTGTCACGTGAGTGCCACCCGCAGCAAAGAAAAACCTATGTTAGAGGATGCAGTGGAGACAGATGTGTCCAACAGCAAACAGCTATACAGTTTGCACAAGGTCACCTTCTGTCCCTCCTAGGCAACCTCTCCAGCTATATGATAAGCTTCCCCTGCAAGGCTGAGGCCCCTTGCTTCTAAGAGGCTCTACCATGCCCCAGTCTCAGTCTGGGGACAATCCTTTTTCTTAAAAGAACCCATCCCACCTCCGCCCCCTCCCCCAACACACACATACATTCCTTCTTTGTGTTGCTTGGAAGCCTGGGACTGCATGCTTAGGCCAGGGCAACTGTGCACGCTGGGCTGCGGAGGATTTGGTCAGGGAGGAGCAGGGAGAGAGCAAGTGCCACGAAGTCTCCCTGGGACTCCAGAACAGAAAGACAGCAGAGCGGAAAGCAGGGGCTTCCTCCAAATGTCTAGGCAGCTCTTCCCATAGCAGGGTGTCCTGGGCCCCAGAGATTTGCACTGAGCTGAAAACCCACTGCCATTCAGCTAGCTAGCTTTGGGTAGGGCCACTCCAGTCACATTCTCCACTGGTCCCAGCTGGCCCCAGCAGGGCCCCCTCCTCCACCCTCAAGGTAAGCCAGCAGCACTGAAAGTCCCCCCACCCCATGCCCAAATTTAGGGGCATCTCTCTGGACCAACCTTTGGTGGAGACAGGAGAACAGGGCTACCCTGGTCACCAAGAAGAGGAAAAGAGGATACACAGGGCCAGCACCCCAGTACCAGACCCCAAGCACTATCTCTTCCTCAGAACACACATAGGAGATAAGCACTGTCACCTCTCACTTCAGAAGAGAACACTGAGGAACAGGAGGTGAAATAATGTGTTCAAGATCACGTTCAGCTGCATGGGAGAGAGTGCACTGGTCCCTCAGCTTCAGAAGCCTTCTCTGGCCCCACTGAGACCCAGCCCCCACACAGGCTGTAGTCTTGCCAGCCTCAGCTGCAATTCAATTAGTCCCTCCAGAGCCCTGACCCCAAGGGAGGGTCCCACCACCTGCTGGAGGATCAGCTTGGTTGAGGGGTGTGTCTGCAGCTGTCCCAGAGGAATGAGACCGGAATGTCCCAGCTCCAAAAGAGGGGACAGTGGGTGACTGCTGGGAAGGAGTAGGGGGGAAGAGGCTGGCCTACCTGCCCCCACTGGACACTTGAGGAGCACAGCCTAGTGGCTAACCTCTGCAGAAGGGGGTGTTATCACATGTGGTAATTGTACAGCACTTCAGTTTGTCTCAGCCCTTCCCCTTCATGATCTCAAGTCATCCCGCAGTAATGACCTTCAGTCCATTTCACAGAAAGGGAAACCGAGGCCTAAGAAAAGGAAGTGAGTTGTCCAAGATCCCACACTGAGGAGCCATTTCAGCTCCTTGAGCGAAGCCCTGTCTACTGCACCAGGCTGTCTCAGTTAGGAGTCACCTTCTATGGGCACACACTGCCCAGCCCCCATGGCCGTTTCTTCCAAGGGCATCAGCACCCAGGCTGGTTTGGATGAAGTCCCCTCAGCCTGTGACCCCTCCTGCCTGCCCCACTCCAAGGGTCAGGAAGAAACAGTGGAAGCGGAGCTGGTATGGGACTCTTAAGCTCTGGAAGCTGCTAGAGGCGGTGGCGGGAGCAGGCTGGCCGCTCTCATTCACAGTCTCGCACATACACACCCACACGCAGCCAGTCGGCAGAGGAGCCCTGACTGAGAGGGCCCTGGGAGGAGGCTGATCACCCTGGGAGGAGGCTGATCACCGGGCAAAGGATGGCCTCCCGCCTCTGCTCCCTCCTAGGACAGCCAGGCCCAATATGTTCGTTCCTAAGGGGTAGAGGTGAGAGTGTCCCAGTCCTCCTTCTGGATACATTCAGAGCCCTGATTTTCACCTGGCCCTAGGCTGACCCTCACTTTTGCCAATGCCTGTGGCAAGGACTAGAACAGGGTCACAGTCACCAAGACCTAAGAACGTCCCTTATCCGCAGCCCGGACAGGACAGGGGACTAGGGCAAGAACGAGAACGGGGGCAGGCAAGAGGTCTCACCGGGAAGGCAGAGAAGGCGAGTTTGGCATCCCCACGGAATTTCTCCCAAGAAGGTAATGGAGGAGGTTAGGGATCCCCAGAACTGCGGGAGGTCCTCGAGCTACCAAGGGGGCGGGGTGGGGGAGCGCGTCCTTCCCCGCCACTCCCTGCCCCGAGCTGCTGGGCACGGGGGCGAAGGCCGAGGTCACTCTCCTGTGCCAAGGGCGTCCGCCCCACCTAGCTGTGGCGCAGGGGTCCCGAGCGATGCTCCAGGGAAAGCGCGTTTACACGGGTGGCGGAGAGGAGATGTCCTGCGGGTCCAGCAAGCCTCGGTATCCGGGAGCAGGGGGCACTAGGCGCACACCGCACCCTGCCACCCCCGTCCATTTCTTAGACTACAGCCTCGGCTAGCGCGGGGCTGCAGCTTGGCCAAGGACGCCGAGAAAGCGACACCCCAGCAACCCGCCCTCCAGCCCAGTCCCCGGCCCCTCGCGCGCCCCAGTTACCATGCTGGCGCGGCGCTGGCCGGTCCGCGGCTCCACACCCTCACGCTCTTCAGTGCCCTAGCGCAGACTTGAACCCTTCACGGCGCCCGCTCCGGCCGAGACTGCGAGTCGGGCCGGAGCGGCCGTGCGGCAGGCGCCTAGAGAACGCGGGCGGGCGGGCACCGGAGCCGGATTGGTGAGGAAGGGACGCGCTCGGCAGCACCCGCTCGCCTGCCCTAGAGGCGGAGGGAAAACCCGGCCTGACTCACCCGCGCGCCGCGAGCCCTGAGCGCGGCCCGGCCCCCGGATGTGGGGGGCGGGGACGGGGGGCAACCCCCGCCCACCCGCGATCCAACCTGAGCCCCGCCCCGGGTCGCCCTGGCTGCTGAGTCCGGATCTGCCCAGGCGCGCGCCCCCCTGCCTCCCGCGCCGGGTGTGCGCAGACGCCCCCAGCGTCCAGTGTACCCTGAGGGGTACACCGCTCATTCTCCTCCTCCTCCTGGCCTCACCTGTCTCCGTCTCAATCTGTCTCCCCGCACCCGCCCTTTCTCCCCCCTCTCTCCCCGAATCCCCCCTTCTCCAGAACAGCTTCGGAATAAGCGTGTTGGGTCCATCACCTCTCTGATCGTTGCCGCCTCCTCTCGGGTAATCGTTATTTTCCTCTTTTGAGGCTAAACCAAAAGTGGTACCCTGAGAGGTGAAGAGATTTACTCATGTCTCCAGCTACTTAGCAGCGGAATTAGGCACCAACTTTTTTGGGTTTTTCCGCCTACATCATCTAGGGGCAGCAAATTGAGGTGCCTTCAGGGGCCAGGCAAATAATGTGAATGAGTCCAACAGGCTAGATGACGTAAGCTATGGAAACAGAGACAGAGCTGGATACCCAATGACATTCAAATTCAAAAAGTTAAAAGCCACAGTTTCTTCCTCAAAAAGTTAAACGTGGAGCTACCACGTGATTCGACAATTCCACTCCTAGTTGTATGCCCAAAAGAATTGAAATCAGGTATTCAGACAAGTACTTGCACATGGATGCTTATAGCAGCACTGTGAACAGTACCTGAACACCTGACTCTCCCCCTCCCTCCCCCTGTCCCTCCCTACTGAGGAGTGAACCCAGGAAACAGCCTAAGTGTCCAACAACTGATGAATGGATAAACAAAATGTGGTCCATTCATACAATGGAATATTATTCAGCCGTGGAAAGGAATGACATGTTAACACATGCTACAACATGGACAACCTTCCAAAACATAGTAAGTGAAAGACACTAGACACAAAAGCTCACAAGTGGTGTGATTCCACTCATACGAATTAGGTGAATCCACACAGACAGAAAGCAGATTAAAGGCCAGAGGCTGTGGGGAGGGAGAGATGAGCTGTTGCTTAATGGGTATGGAGTTTTGGAATAGAACAGTGCTTTGGAACCAGATAACTTGCACAACTTTGTGTAGCAAGTGCCACTGAATGTACACTTTAAAATGGCCTGAGGGGGACGGGGGGGGGGGGGGGCGGAGCTGGGAATATAGGTTATGATAGAGCATATACTTAGCATGCATGAGGCTCTGGGTTCAATTTCCATCCCCCCAAATAAAATAAAATGGCTAGTTTTGTTATGTGAATTTTGTCTCACTTAAAAACAAAACATGTCACCAGATTTGATCCAGAGACAACCAGTTTGCAATCCCTCACCTTCTGTGCTATGCATGTCAATTTCCTAACAGTGGAGGTGCCAGGCTTCAAAGGACTTGTCTCTAAGAAAACCCACTCATAGCTACTCTTCCTCTCAGCTCTGGAGGAGCCCCAGTGCAGCAGGGTTACTAGTTGGGACAGATAAAAGTTCTGAGCAAGGACACACTTGGCCTGTTGGGGACCTGAGGAAAGGTCTCCCTGGGAAAAGCCCAGGCATGGAATAAGCCAGCAGCACCTGTCTGTTCAAGTGCAGACAAGCTTACTAGGGAGGTGAGAGCCCTGAGTGGGAAAGGTCAGGGAGAGAAGGGGCGCAGGAAGCACACATTGGAGCAGACTCAGAATGGCCTCTTGGAATGGCCAGAGGGGCCACAGGGGCGTTGTGGGAGAGGCACTTGTGCAGCCAGCTGGACTGAGGGATGTGGACACAGGCCCCTGGGGAGGTGCTCCAGGCAGGAAGGCTGGGTGATGGAAATGGGGAAGGAGGAATGAGGCAGTAGGGAGAGAACTACATGGGGGACATTTGTGAAATGGTTTGAAAGAACTCACTTAGCCGGTGCCAGTGGCTCACACCTATAATTCTAGCTACTGAGGAGGCTGAGATCAGGAGGATCATGGTTCTAAGTCAGCCCTGGCAAATGGTTTTCTGAGAACGTATCTTAAAAACACCCAATACAAAAAAGGGCTGGTGGAATGGCTCAGGTGGTAGAGTGACTGCTTAGCAAGTATGCAGCCCTGAGTTCAAATCCAAGTACTGCTAAAAAAGGCGGGGAGCAGCTGTTAGAATGACTCAATTGGTTAAAAAAAAGAACTCACTTGGCAAGAAGTTCCTTGAGGAGAAGGAGGGGGTCAAAAGTAAGTTCGGGTAACAGCTCAGAGTAATTTAGGAGCCACAGCCTACCCTCCCTCCCCTCCTCCACCCCCTTTCTGTGGTTACAAATGCAGTGACTTATCCAAAGTCTTCTGACCTCCCTTTGCCCTTCCCATGTCCTTTCCATACATCAGACTGCCTGTGGGAAGGGGAGGGGAGGACATTCAGAATCTCAAAATGTCCCAGTAAGAGGGGAAGAAAATCCTAGAGTCCAGAGATGTCAAAGACAAAGGAGGGCAGGGTTGAGAGTCAGGGGGTTTCTGACTGGAGCACCCAAAGAGGGCTTCTGCAGGTAAGAGGCTGGGGTGCGTTGCTGAGGGGCTAGGGCAGGAGAAGACGTCACCCTGGCTCTTCCCTTCTAACGGGTGTCAATCAAAGAAACAAAGATCAGGTCCCTCAGTCCCTTTGGGCCTGGACCACACTACCTGGCCCCACCTGCTGCACAGGCTAAAGGCTCCCAGCTGCTAAGAACACCCTTCCTTCCAAGTGTCAGAGAGCTGGCTTGGCAGGTATTCCTTCCTGTGTGCTCTGAGCCTTTTCATGTTGTCACTTTGGTCATCTGGATGAGGAGTGGCAAGGCAAAGGGAAGAGAGACGTAACTTCAGTCCCAATCCAGAAAGTGTCTCTTCCCCTCTCCAGGGTCTTAACATCTTCATGCCTTCCTCTTTGTGTTCTCAAGCATAAACCAGAGGGCATGCCATTGAACTCCTGGCATCCTTGGTCCAGCCCCCTCTGATGGAAAAACTGAGGTCCAAAGAAGGGACATGATCTTTTGCTCCCAGAGCTGGTTCCTTGCAGAGTTGGGCCTGGAAGCTCCATTCTGGCTGGCCCCAGAAGCTGGGCCTGCCTTTCTTTTTCCTTTTTTTCACTACTGGGGTTTGAACTCTGGGCCTACACCTTGAGCCACTCCACCAACCCTTTTTTTGTGATGGGTATTTTGGAGATAGGGTCTCACAAACTATTTGCCCAGGCTGGCTTTGACCCATGATCCTCCTGATCTCTGCCTCCTGAGTAGCTAGGATTACAGGCATGAGCCACAGCTCCTGGCTGGGTCTGCCTTTCTGAGACTTGGAGAGAAGGTGGGCTGGACAGAAGTGGGGAGCCGGAAGCCAGCAGGAGGCCAGGTGTCCCCCTCTCCTATTCCTTCCAGGCTTGCCTCGCAGCATGGCAACAGCCAGATCATGGCAGGGAATTGGCTCAAGGGGTAGGAGTTACATTCATTGAACTTTACGCACCTTCATAGGTTCCCGGCGCAGACATCCCTGCCTGGGAATCTCTTACCCCCACACCTGCTATTCCTGTGGAGTTAGCATGGAAGTCACACTGCCCAGGCACCAAGGGGTGAGGCACCTGGGGCACTACTCCAGGGGAAGTGAAACTGAGCTTCCCTGGATGCACCCACTTCCTGAATTGGCTGACTTTGGACAATTTAATTTCTCTGAGCCTCAGTTTCCCCATCTCTAAGACAAGTAGCATCTATGTATCTAAAAGCACCCAGTGCAGAGCCTGGCAAAAGGTGGGTGTCAGTAAATGTCAATTGGTCCTCCCTTCTCCTTAGGGGGAGAGTTTGTCGGAAGGACCCGAAGCCTGTCTTGAAGGACTACTGTGTGCCCTCAGCATGCACTGTCCTTGCCACAGCTCTGTCTCCTGGTCTGGGCAGTTTGTGCTTCCATACTGCCTGAAAGTGGCCCAGACAGTAGGATCCTGGGGCCACCCCGGACATTTCTCCCACCTCTCTGGCCACCACCTTTCTTCTTAACCATTGTTAAAGCCTCCTTGGGGCTCCTACTGCCCAGCTGCCCCCACTCTGCCCAGTGGGAGCCTTTCAGCCCACACATCCTGTCCCTACTCTCCACTGCAATTTAAGACTGGTCCTGCGACTCCTTGAGGCTCAGCCACTGCGATGGTTTCCCTGCATCTCTGTTTAGGGACTGCCTCTGTGTCCTCCTCTGTAAGCACCTGGCTGTTCCAACACCCACTGTCCTCAAGGCCCCTCCTCCCACCCTGAACACAAAATTAATCACTCTGTATGCTCTCAGCCTTTTCCCTTTGGCAGTGGCCTTTGTCACAGTGTGTCATTCTCTGTGGGTCACCTGTTTGCCCCATCCGTCCAGACCCCCAATGCCTTGAAGGAGCTCAGGAAATGCCAGCCCCAAATCTGACACTTTGCTCTGCAGATTCTTGTGAACCAGGGCCCTTGGGGAACATAGGTGCAGGGGAGGCTTTCTTGGAGTTCCCCTCTTGATCCTCCAAAAGGAACTCAGTGTCATAAACCCCCTTCTCTGGGAATCTTGTCAATTAGGAGGAAACTGGAGGTTGACACTCTTTTGCTGCTCCTCTTAGGGAACTGTTACTACCTGAGAGACTTTTTTTTATTTTGGGGACAAAATAATCATGTAGCTCCAGGCTGGCCTTGAACACTCAATCCTCTTGCCTCATCCTCCGGAGAATGCTGGATTACAGGTGTGTACCATTATGCCCTTGCTTCTGAGAGACTTTTTATCTGCATAAGATAACCTTTATTCACATATGGTCGCTCCCAGAACTGTCACACACATCCTCCCACCCCAGGAGCCAATCCCCGAATGCATTTCTATAGCTCCAGTCATCTCACCCTTCTGGTATTGTGTAGGACACTCAGGAATATGTATGTAATTAAATATGGG